ATGACGATGTCGGAGAAACTTTTAGTGGCTGCTCTTATCATGTGATCGATATATGGGGACTTTAAGGTATTGATGAACAAAATGGTAAACTCCCTTTCAGTCATTGGCGGATGCACTTGGGATGCAATGTCTCTCTATCGTTGTACGTACTGTCGAAAACTCTCATTATACTTCATCTTCATATTTTATAGCGTTGTTTGATCAGGGACCATATCAGTCATGTACTTGTATTGACCTAAGAAGGCATGAGCTAAATCTTTCCAAGAATGGATTTGAGTACAATTTAGCTGGTTATACCTGTAACCCCCTAGACTCGGCCTATGCTTTTCGACTAAGTCTAGTGGATCGCATTCATGATTCTTAAAGACATTTTTCCTAAACTGTTATTCTATCAATGAAAAATCATATTCATAAATGACATTTATGAAATTATAATAAATTATACTATAAAAAAAACCAACTCATAATTATGAGAAAAATAACAATTTAATTAAAACATGTCTTTAAAAATCCAAATTACAATAAATGGATATAAATTAGCAAAAGGAGTACTCATTATAAAATCCAATACTTTTAAAATAAGGCCCATGTTACCATAATATAGTCAACTTAAAAGATAAAATATTACAATACGATATACTTCAAGAGATATGTTGATCTTCCAAGTGCTTGATCCGAGTATCTAACCAACAATATCTGAAAGGGGAAAATATTTTCGAAAAGTGAGCTAGGCTCAGTGTGTCCCAATAGTACAATAAAATCATAGTAGGTACAGTAATTGAGTAATAGTTCAGAAATTCATCATCAAACATAATGAAGTTTAACTTTTGAAACTCGTAATTTAAAACCCTTCTCCTGTACACCATCCGCAATTCCCCAGAACTGCGTCCATAGGACTTATCTTAAGCACACAGCAGAAAGGAAGCCAACCTAAAGATAGACTTTGAGGCCTGTATCCTTAAGTCCGTAAATCCGTAGGGCTTACCCTAAGCACACATCAAAGGGGCCAACCTAATGAAGCATCTTGAGGCCCGTGGGCCTACCCAAGAGTCACATTAGGTCCATAAGGTTTACTAGCGTGATCAAAGCTGTACCTCCGTAATGCAATCCAACCCAAAATCAGTATTTCAAAAATACTATTTATGCCGTAAGTATAATTTCCATAATTTCATAATCAATATTATCATATACCAATGAAAACCAATCATATATCAGTCATATTCCATAAACCATCACCAGTAAATAGGTGGATTAATAAAACATTAAACAATAGCTTTCAATGTACCATATTTCAAAACATATAAAACAATCAAGTAGTACACAGGGAACACACCTTGACAATAGGTTCAAATAGTAGATCTAGTGATTACTGGCCTCGCCACGCTCTGCTACTGTTTTCGAACCTAATTCATAATAACACTATATTACTAATGGGTAACAAAATTAATTTCTGAAATCATAAAATTTACGGGTCTTACGGGTGAATACTGGCACACGCGGCTTAACTGATCTAGAGGAGCTGGGTCGAGCTGTCGAACAGTCAGGAGAGTCTCTTGTACCTTCAAACATTAATAATTTATCAGTCCCAAGTCTTACTCAACCATTTAAAGCTTAAACTCTTTAATACATAAGCATTTTTCAGATTTGACTATCAATTTGAAGGCTTTCGAGTCCGAATTTGATCAAACGGAGTGCGGAATCGGAATCAGGGCGTCGAACAACATAAAGTATGACTTTTCAAAAATTCAAATTCTTGGTCAAAATCAAAGTAAACGGGTTTTAATGATGATTGGAGGCATTCAGGTTCGAATTTGGAAAAACAAACTTCGAAAGCGGATTCGACACGTCGAAAAATGTCAGAATAGGTATACTCGAACAAAATCAAAGGTTGTTTAATGGCCGGTCAAAGAGGTTCACTAGTCCACATTCAAAAATTACAAAAATATCATCTTTATTAAAAATAATTACCAAAATATCACCGTTTTACAAATAATTCCCAAAATGTCACATTTTTCAAAATAATTCCCAAAGTGTCACTGGGTCGGGTTGGGTCAACGGTCGGTCAACGGGTCGGGTCAGGTTAGACCGATCAACCCGGTTCAGACCAGTTTGGACCGGTCAAGCCGGTCACAACATCACCCAACCATTCGCATCCTTCCCCATGCGCCGCCCCTGCGCGTGGGAGCGCGTGAGACCTCCTCCGGTCTCCAACAATTCCTTCAAAAATTTTCAAAAATTATTTTAAGCGATTTTGAGTCACTTACCAATCTCGGTTCAAATTTTTGAACGGTGGAGAGCTCGATTTCAACTCGGCCGAATCTTTGACCGCTCCACCTCTCTCACGCGCCGCCGCCTACGGAGACAGGAATGACACCGTCGGACTCGGAACGACACAAGGAACACGATAGTGCGGGAGGTGTCGAAAATATCGAGACTTTGACTCGAAATTCACGTCGTTTGGCAGCGTTTCACTATAATTGGTTTATTGGGTTTTGATCACGGGTCGAAGATGAACACGACGGTGGTTTTAATTTTACGATTGGAGCTCGGACGGCGTCGGAATCGGACTTGAAAGGAAGGGGTACGAGAGAGTAAAGCTTTGCAATTGTTTCTGGTATGAAACCAGAAAAGCACATTTCACATATTTAAGTTTGAAAGTTGCCAACACTCCTTGGTTAAATTCAGGAATTGGTCCCTAAATTTCTTTTACTTCTAAAATAGCCTACAAGTTTTCATAAATTTTAATTTAGTCACCAAATTACACCGATTTAAACATTTTTTTTCAAATTTTTCGAGTTGTTACAATACCACTTAGAAGCGGACTTAATCAGGCTATCTTGAAAACAGTGGATCAACAACTTATCATTCTCCAACTGGCCAATCATTCTCCTGTAGAATGGATGAAGGGCACATGGTCCCATCGTACTTCTTGAAGTCAGGAAATTGGAACTCAAGCGGAAGAACAAGATCGGGGACCAAACTTAGCTTTTTAGCGTCGAACTCATAAAACGACTCATCCATCTCCCTTGATTTTATCTTCTCCAAATTCTTTAATTGTTGGGTGAGCTCATTCTTGGCTCTTTCATTCTCAGATATTTCATTTGGATGTGTGACTTCATTATCATAAAAATCACTAGGTTTCACCCCAAACGCAGTAAGGCAGTTAATAAGAAGAGAAGTTCTAGCCCGATATTGTGGTGCATTCCCAATAGCAAATAAAGCATGAGGTTTAGATTCCTGGCGTACTAGGGTGGACATATAAATAGGTGTAGAGCTCAAGGGATGCATAGGGTCTTCAACGACACTCTTGCCAACTATCACATTTTCATAAACATCTTTCCATCTTATTCAGCAAATCCAGCTGAGAGCTAGCCATATCAACCTCAATTTTGGCCTATGATCTCTTGTCTCTTCTTGAAGTTCCTTATGCCATTTCTCAACTTTCTATAGTCTATCTTCCATTTCCTTAGTCATCTTTCTTGTACTGTACGGATGCAAAGTATTCTTGCTATTACTAGGGATCGAGATCACTATGATCGAAAACCTTTTCTTATCATTTGTTGTTTTATTAAATGAATGAATGTTGTAATGCATCAATAAATGTAAGTGCATATAGATGCAAACGTAGAGATGCAATTATGCAAATGCAAATGCAAAATCAAAATGCAAATGTAAATGGTGCTGATCCCAATGATGAATATCATAGAAAAAGTTTCATTGAAAATCAAAGTCTTTACTTTATAAAGTAGTCCATTTTATAGACATTCTTTTGCTTGGACGCTTGGTCTAAAGTAAGCCGATGCTTTATTTGGAAGACAAAACAAAATAGAGTAGGGACATTGAAAAGGGAGTGAAAAGAAGAGCAATTTGCCATTAACTATTACCACTCATGCATGGGAAATATTGTTTAGAGATTTCATAAAAAAATATTGGTTTCTGATGGCACTAGTAAGTGCAAATTGATGGGACCAAAGGCATGAGATATGTCCCCTCACCTCTCAACTCTTTGCCCTATTTAAAAACATGCTTACTATTAATTGATTAGTAGTAGCATCATTGAGGTTACTTTAAGATGGTTTTATTATAAATGCTAATGAGAACTCAGATTCATCGTGTACAGTGATAATTGGGATAGTTCCAATTGTGCAGCTGTTCCCCAAATCATAACTGTGCATATTGGGGCAGCCGGCTTAGTGCCGGTGTGCTATATATAGATAAGATATGAGATATTGGTGATTACATAGGAAAAACATATTGTGATATTTAATTTTAAGATGAACTCTAAAAGACGACAAGGGCATATTTCCATATGAATATATTTATTTTTTGAATTCTTTATATATCTAAAAACTAAATATTTGAAAGACTGAAATCTTTTAGTAAAAATTCGAATTCGAAGGTACTGGTAAATTATTCCAAAATGGAGGCAACCATTTTTTAACATTGAAAGTGTGTTATGAAAATTAAGGGGAAGATAACTAAATATTTGGATTTTTTATGAGTGTTGTTAGGAACAAAAATGATGATCAAGTTGAAAGGCTTCATTAACACCGGTCAGGTCAAAGACTGTGGATGAATATATAAATACTAATTTTTCTATAGTTAAATCAAAATGAAATATAAATATATATACGTATATGCATGTATGTACGCAAGCAAAATACATAATTTTTGTACACACATCCAACAAGAGATTGAAGAAACTCTTCGTTAATACCTCCTCAATACGACGATTCAAACCTTACTGCTACAGTTTTAAATTAATAGATAGGTTTTGATAGGATTATTATTCGATTACTACTATTATTCTTGTTGTTATCTGGGATTTATCCTATAGTTTTCTATAATTTCCTGTATTACGCATTCTTTTCACCTCACAACGTCAAAGCTGAAAGCAACCAGATAAAGATTTCATTCTAAAATAATAATAGTAATAACAATCGAAAGAAAATCGAATTAAGAAGACAATTATATCTATTGTTGTACTGACGAAAGTTTATACACTACAGTATCACGATACGCATGCGATTAACATCCATAGTTCAAATCCGACTAAATTTAACAAACAGTAGGAGAATTTAAACCCTAATAAGCAACGCACAGAGAGAGAGAGAGAGAGAGAGAAGATAGAAAAGATAGATGTGTACTTTAAGGGATTCTTCTTATTTGTTTTTCAGTTGATATCGGAGTCATCGAAATCGTCTTCGAAGTTGTTGAAGAAATCGGCATCGGCGAGCTTGTTGTCGGTCCCCATTACGCCTTCTCCTAAGATATCAATTGAATCGACGTCGTCGACTTCCATGGCTGAACCTTGATCGTCCGGATCAGTCACGTATTCCATCGGCATCGGCCTCATCTTTTTCCCCTCTTTTTCCAGATTCTAGGGATCTCTTTCTTCATATTCTATTTGTTTTATATCACGCTGAGTTTATAACGAGGATGTTTAGCATTGAAACGATGCCGTTTACATATTAAAACAAATCCTTCTAAAACGCATCGTGTCCTACTTGGGAAGAGAAACTTGATATCAAGACTTTAGGGTGGCGGGAGTTATTTGCAAAATTGCATATACAAATATTTTTAGGACTTTTTAAATTCCTTACCAATTTTTTTTTTTATATTTTTTGTGGAATATTATATATTAATTTTATTAATTAATATAAATAGTTAACTAATTCTTTTTTATTTTTAAATAATGCATTTAAAATCCTTAATTCGTAAACAAATTTATGAATTATGTAAAATTTTAAATTTATTCAGGTCAGGTCGATTTTAAAATTTAGAAATAATTTATCTTGATCTAAGATAGTTATGATATTATTATTTGTAAGATTTAGATAAATTATCTGAGACTTCCATTAGGCCAACGATACAACTCTTTAGGGGGCGTTTGGATGGGGGAATGTGGGATTTTCCCGGAATGGAATCCACATTCTCCCGCTTGGTTTGGTCGGGAATGTCATTCCCAGAAATGTTTTATTACCAATAGTGGATTTTTTGAGTATATTACTGGGAATGTCATTACCTCCCTTTCCTTAGGTATTGTAACATTACCGGCTTTTTGGACTAAAATACCCTTAAATTTTTATTTTTTTCTTTCAAAAATACCATTCTTTTGTCATTGAATAATAAAAATTATACGAATGTTAAATTACAAATTTATTCTTAAATTATTTTAGATTTCTTAAAAAAAGTCTATAATTAAAATTTTATATGAAGTTCAGGGGTTAAAATAAAATTTTACCCTTTCATTAAACATTTTTTATATTTTTAATTTTGTAAAAAAATTATATAAATATTATGAATTTATTTTTTTAAAGAAAATATATAAATATTTTACAACTTGTAATATTATACAAATATATAATAAGGACAATTTGGTCAAATATACATTCCAATAATCTTTTATTCATTTAACCAAACACGGTAATCTTACATTCCTACTAAATCAACCAAACACAAAATACAACATTATCAAGATTGAATGGTTCCCTTAAGGGATGTGAAAGCCCGTTATTGATAAATTAGAAGCAAGATTGAATGGTTGGAAAGGGAAGTTATTATCTTTTGGTGGGCGATTGATTTTGGTGCTATCGGTCCTAGCAAATCTACCGGTATACTTTATGTTCTTTTTTTCAAATTCCAAAGGGTATTGCTAAGAAGCTAAACAGGATGGTTGGTAATTTCATATGGGGGTCGACTTCTTCTCGCACCATTCATTGGGTTAGCTCGGCTCGGCTCGTGGTCGTGGTAATACGTTTCAGCTGAATAATAATGCAATGCACCTGGACTATTTTTGAGTCAGGTCCATCTGGACCTACGTTTCAGCTGTTACAATGAAGGGTTACTATGTGGGATTGAGCATTACCAACAATGATCAAATCGTCTCTTAAGCCACTATGGAAGCTTGCCTTTCCAGGTATTACTTAGTCCATTTGGATGGTGTGAAACGATGTAATATTCACATATAAAATGTGCAACGTTCAGAATATTTTCGATATAGTTTTGTTGAGAATTGGAATATGGGCAAATAGCTTATGGTCGAATTCAGTAGCTTTCATAAACGAATTCACAAGATACCCCCAGAATGTTTCCTTGCCATTGAAGAGACGTGGTAGACCCTTAAATGGTTCATGGATAGCTCCCCTGATTGACAATTTTAAATTCAACATTGATGCTGCCATAAGAGGTTATGTAGGTCTAGCAGGAATTGGTGGAATCCCTAGAAACCATAAAGGTGATATCCTCATCAGGTTCTTAAGATCCATCGGCATATCTGATATTACTGGCGTCGAGCTCACCGTCATCCTTGAAGCCTGTCAAATTTTGGTTTCTTGTAGGTGGGCGGAGAACAACAATCTGATCATCGAGTCTGATTGTCTGCATGTAGTTCAATGGATCGAGAATCCTAGCAGTTTCCATCCGTCTTATGTTGAGCTGGTGGCTAAATGTTGTGTTTCGTGGAGCTCTTCTTTAAGCATGTGTGTTGAGTTTGGTAGTATTAGAGTGGGGTATGGTGCCTTTGTAGGTTGTACTTTGCATGTTGTACTTTGCAATCTGTGTTTTGGTCTCTTTGGTGGGGTGTTTTATTTTGTGGTTTTGGTTTAGAAGGTATATAAAGCATGGGAAATGATCACATGCGGTAGTCTTATATATGGTTAAAAAAAAATATTATCAGTTTTATTATTATTTAAATAATAAAATTGATAAAAAATTACTGGAAATATTATTATTTCTACCGATTTTGTTATTGTTTGGCACTTTACTGAAAATGTTAAAAAACCTTGATGTTTTAGGTAGAAATAATAATGTTTTAGGTAATTTTTTACCGGTTTTATTATTTAAATAATAACAAAACCGGTAACGTCTTTTTTTAATTGTATATTAAGGGTGTCACAATGTAAAACTTCCCATAAAGTATATTATTTTTTATTTACATACTTATTATTTTGTCAATGTAGATACTTAAAGTTTTTTTTTTTTTGGTTAGAGTAGGTACCTAATATATCATCTTTCTATCTAAATATCTAAAATTTCACATTTGACAATGATTAAAATTACTTTAGATACATAGTTGAAAAAGATTATATATTTTAGGTACTACTTAGATAAAAGTATTTTAGATTAAAGACGTGCATGGATCAGGTCGGGTTAAGTTTTAGTCGACCTGAATTCGAAATTAGTATTATACTCTTTCATTTGTCGCTCGATCCAATTCGAATTTAGGGAGATTTTACTCACATCAAACCTATTTTTTGGGGTAAAATCTTATACATGATATGATACAAACATATATGTAATCTCATTTTTATTTGATAAAATATAGACCTAATTGAAAAAATATATATATATAGAAGATATTAATGTAATTATCTCTGTACCTATAAGAGATAATTATATTATTATCTTAGGTCGAACTTGGGATTTTTACCTTAAAACTCACACTCAACACGACCCTGCTTGAATAAGATTTTTCATTAAAAAATTTAACTTGTAAGATTAAATTAGATTAGAACTCATCACGTTCGAATGTCATACACATTCCAACTTTAGATATATAAAAAAGAAAAAAAAGAAAAAAAACGTTAACTACTTATTTTATAAAAAAAATACTTAAAGTTTAAGATACGGTATACTTTAAATATATATTTATTAAGCCTAAATAGAAAAAAATATTGCACTTTAGGGCCCACTGTTAATGAAACGGGCACTAAGCTGCGCTTTCTATGTAAAGATAGCAGCAGCCAATTTTGAATGGATATTTGACTTTTACCATGGTTTTTAGAATCGGATCGGTTAGCGAACTGATTATGTTATAGATTTATTGATTTAATCGGTTGAATCGGTCTAATTGGTCGAACCGGTTTAATCGGTCGAAAGAATCGAAAGACGTCATAATTATTTAAAAAAATAAATAAAAATACCAAAAATATTTAATAAAAAAAAATTTATATCACAAGTCATATTCAAAGCAAGTCATAACATATATAAGTTAAAAATCATAAAATCAAGTGAAACAAAATGATTCAAATTAACTACAACATAATAATTAAGGTAAAATATATTAAATAATAAATATAATTATATAACTATAATTAAAAAATAAATTTGGGGTTAAAAAAAATCATAACAAATGATATTGTTTGGTTTAATTTTTTTTAAAAAATAATCTCACATGGCTAAGAAACATAGAAGAACATCCCAAAAGTCTAAAGAGAAAAAATATGAGAACAAAGCAATCCAACATGGCTAAGAAACATAGAAGAGCATCCCAACTAATTTCTATAAATAATAGAGGTAATTTGACATTCAAAATCATGGAGTCTTTTAGTGAGCATTGAGTGAACTATTCTTTCACTTCAATCAAGCTTGAATTTTAAACTTCAATCGAGCTTCTATTTTTTTTTTTGAGTTCAAACCTTTTCGAGTTCAAGTTTCACTATTATATTTTGAGTTCGAGTTGAACTTGATAATTTTTAGCTCGTGAGTTTGAGTCGAGTTGAGCTTACTTTTAAAGTTTTCAAGTTCGAGTCGAGCTCAGTAATATTCGAGTTCGACTTGGCTCGTTTAACAAACGATGTTGTTTGGTTTAATTTAAAAAAAAAACAAAATTGACGGTTTTTCCCAGTTTTCAGCTGATCCAGTTCGAACGGTTTAGCGGTTTCGACCGGTTCACTAGTAGCGATTCAACCGGTATAGATTGAACCGGACTAGATATCGGTTTCCGGTTGAACCGGCCGATCCAGTCCGATTTTCAAAACAATGACTTTTACATATAATTTTTTTATAAGCCAAGGTTCAGATTTTTTAAATTCCGGTCTACAAATATATATATATTTAGAATTGAAACCTTTTTAAGAGAATATTTAAGATTTTTATATTTTTATATAATTTTGACTAAAATAATTTAAAATTTCCAATTATAATTATTTTAAAATTTGGATTATATATATTTTTATATGTGAAATGATTTCATTCACTCGCGTCGTATGTGTAATAAAATTAAATATAAAAAAATTTAAATCATATGTTTAAAATCAATTTAATTTGATTAATATTATTATTAATATAGTAACACGTAGAATGGCGTGTAATCGAAAATGATTTTTTCAGTTAGCGTTGGAAAAAGTTTACTTTTCTAGTTAAAACCTAAATTATTTAGTACTCTATTTGTAATAATTATTTTCAAGTGTGAATGCATTTTTTTCTTAGTCAATGCTACTTTTTGTACATGAATTAATGTGGCACAAAATGCCAATTAAAATTGCTTTTTTTACTTTTAGTTTTGTTCAAAGTTTCTAGAAAATAAAAGTAACGGGAAATATATTTTTTGGGTCAATAAAAAGTAACGGCAAAACCATTGATGACTTTGATGTGTACCAAATCACTTAC